CCTGGACCTGGTTGGCAATCCGCAGAACGTTCAAACAGGCGTTCAGTGCTTGGCTGGCTTCGTTAATGTTTTGACGCACGCCTCTGGAGTCGACCAACGCCTTCTTGTGCTCCGCCAGCTTCTCGATACTCTCTTGGATAGACTCATTAAGTTGCAGGATTTCACCACTCATTTGCACGGTTTGGTCCCGTATCCTGAGCAGTGAATCGACAGAGCTGACAAAGTCCTGGTGATTTGCGTTACATATTCGCTCAATCTCACTCTCGCGATCGTTGGCATATCGATCGAATGTGATTTGTAGTTGGTTAGAGTAACGGGGATCCTTCATGATGGGGATCAGCTGATCTATGTAGTCCGAGCCCACCGAGGACTGGGATATCTGTTGAAATTAGCACGATACTTGCAACTACAGTCCGGGCGGTTGTTCTTTACTTGTTTAATCGCTATCCACAAGTCATCGTCAGGGTCAATAGCCGATGGCATTATGGCGGCTGCCTAGGAGAATGTCACAACTGCTGAGGGGAGATGCGATGGCTTATGTCGCAGATGGCCTTCACGTGCCTAGATTATGAGCCGCGACGATAGAAAGGATCTCCAATCCCGTTACGATGTCGTTATGTGTTGTCGTTGAATGTCTGGCTTGAAACGCGTACCTGGCAAGTCGGCAATGCGCCTGATGCAGCGCTAACATCAATACGGTATAGCCCGCTTGGCGGGATTTGGGCCCACTTTCCCCATACGCTGCTCGAGAAATCCACCCGTCAGAAGTACGATGGAATGAATGACACAAACCCGAGAGGCTCGCATGCATCTTCACACAGTCTATCTTCACTTTGAAAAGGCGATTTCGGGACTAACGAGAATCTCCGAGTGTTAAGTCAAATAATGAAAAACAAACGCAGAGGGTTGGAAAGCCGGACACAATGGAAATTTAAAGTGTCACAATTACACCAGTCAGCAACAGCAGTACCAGAGCTATAGTGATTCTCCTGGTATCCAGTGGCAATTCCACCGATTTTTGTTAGCTTCGGAGCATGTTTCGGGTTGCAAAAGACAATTATCTCCAGTTGACAGGCTGTGGACGCCCCACTTTCTGGAGCGATGACGGAGTAACCCCGCCGATTTCTTAGAACTCCGATCCGGAGTCAACGCCTAAGATATAACTTGTCCAAACTTTTTTCTTTGACTTGGCAACTACTTTCAAGCACACACCATGGAGGCCATTACCAGTAGGTACTCAATGCCAGAGCGATTGATACAATGCTAATGACTTTTACAGATAAGATTCAGAACGTCATGGGCACTGCCAGCGGAAAGTACAGCGGAAAGTATGTTGTATAAAGACTGCGCTTGCTACAAATGGCTAACGGTTCGTTAGGACCGCCCTTTTGCTCGGTGCTGGTTTTGTGTAAGTTAGATATTACCTTCTAAACCATAATTGCTAACATTCCTAGCACCCGACCAACCGTAGACGTTCTCGCAAAGTCTGGTGTCAAGGTCACAGTCGCATGCCGTACTTTGGAGAAGGCCCAGGCTCTGGCCAAGGGCATCCCTAACACCAACGCCATTAGCGTATGAAGTTCAATGCTCATATAATCGATTCGACTGCTAACAATTCTCAGCTTGACGTAAACAACGCCGATGCTCTCGACGCCGAAGTCGCCAAGGTTGACGTCGTCATCTCCCTCATTCCCTACACATACCACGCCACCGTCATTAAGTCGGCGATCCGCAAGAAGAAGAATGTCGTCACAACATCCTACGTCTCTCCCGCCATGATGGAGCTCGATGCCCAGGCGAAGGAGGCCGGGATCACAGTCATGAACGAGATTGGTGTAGACCCAGGTGTTGACCATCTGTCAGCCGTCCTTACTATCGACGAGGTCCACAAGGCTGGCGGCAAGATTCTGTCCTTCAAGTCATACTGCGGTGGTCTTCCCGCCCCAGAGGCTTCAGACAACCCGCTCGGTTACAAGTTCTCTTGGAGCTCCAGGGGTGTGTTGCTTGCACTGAGAAACCAGGCAGCTTTCTACCAGGACGGCAAGGTCAAGTCTGTCGAGGGCCCAGAACTCATGGCTGAGGCAAAGCCATACTACATTTACCCCGGCTACGCTTTCGTCGCCTACCCCAACCGTGACTCCACACCCTACAAGGAGCGCTACAACATCCCAGAGGCACAGACCATCATCCGTGGTACACTGAGGTACCAGGGTTTCCCAGAATACATCAAGTGCCTGGTCGACATCGGCTTCCTGTCAGAAGACGCCAAGGACTTCCTCAAGGAGGGCGCGAAGAGCACCTGGCGTGATGCCACTGCCAAGATCGTTGGCGCCACCAGCAGCAAAGACGAGGATATCATCTGGGCTATTTCTTCGCGAACAAAGTTCGCCAGTACCGAAGACAAGGACCGCATCATCTCCGGCCTCCGCTGGATTGGTATCATCTCCGACGAGGAAATCACCCCTCGCGGTAACCCTCTGGATACGCTGTGCGCTACTCTGGAGAAGAAGATGCAGTACGAGGAGGGCGAGCGCGATATGGTCATGCTCCAGCACAGGTTTGAGATTGAGAACAAGGATGGCAGCAAGGCGGTCCGCACCTGCACACTTGTCGACTATGGTGACCCCAAGGGCTACTCTGCCATGGCTAAGTTGGTCGGTGTACCATGTGCGGTCGCTGTCCAGCAGGTACTTGACGGCACACTCAGCGAGAAGGGTATCCTAGCGCCCATGAGCCCAGAGATCTGCAAGCCGTTGATGAAGACACTGGAGGACGAGTACGGCGTTTACTTCAAGGAGAAGACCATTCCTATGTAAAGCTTGAGATGAATACTTAAGAAATGAGCATGGAACGCGAAGTCATACCGATATGACCAGGTAGACATAGATATCAAAAACGAGCAAATGAATGCATGAATAACTCTCATGAATGTCTTTGCATTTCTCTGGGTATACGCTGATATCTCTGCTGCTGTAGCACTACCGTCCATTTCGCACTTCATATTCCCTCTGTTATTCCCCCTCTCACCTTACTCAATCCAATCCCGCAGATGGCGGCGCCCTTCCTCCAACAGCCTTCTTCGCACCTCCATTTCCTCCTCCCATGCCGCCACCAAACATGCTTCCAAGCATATCGAACATGGGGTTACCCTGTCGTGGAATCTTAATTCCAAAGTACATTTCGCCCAGCTGATCAAGCGCTTCGCCCCAATTTACGTCCTTCAGGTCGCCCGCATAGTGGCTCTTCAGCTGGCGCCACAAGCTAGGGTCTCCTCTCTCCACACTCAGGAGCAGGAGACCCAGGAAATTCAACAGCGGCAACGAGGGGTATACACGAAAGTCGGTCGACTTTGTGGAGACGGTTTGTGTGGGCGGATTGGGCGCCTTCTCGAGGGCGGAGGTGAAGAGTAGGAAGAACTTGTTTGCGGCTCGCAGGTTGCCAGTGAGAAGGTAAGGCAGGACACCGCGGGCGCAGTAGAGGGCTGCTGTATGCGGTGCGTCTGAGGTGTACCAGTTGTAGTTGAGCGTTGCGAGGGTTGCGGCGCTGTCTTGGGTGCCGAGCAGGAGGTGGCGCTCTGCTTCGTAGGGTTCAAGTTCTGTACATTCCAGTTGTCGTTAGCTTCAGAGGTTCAGGTTTCGTAGAAAGCCAATTCTTTCGGGCGAATTTGTAGGTCATGGCTGGAACAAGACCATCGAACGAGACTCACCCTCAGCGTACAACACCCCCGCAACATGGTGTATTTCTGGATCTCCTGCGGGAAAGTCCCCAAATCGCGAACTCCACATCACCATCTCACCCACGAACTTCTTCTTTGTCGGCTCATCCTTTGGAAATGCCCGGAGAAGCGTGAGCAGCCGCCCTCTGCTCTCCGCATCTACTTTGATTTCTCCCTTGTTGTACACGTCGATCAAGAAGATGCAGAGGTCACCGCCGGAGCCACCCTGACCTGCTTGTAGCAGCGATTGTGCGCCCTGGTAGAGGATCGAGGTAGCGTTGGGCCAGTCGTTGGCTTTGGTGTAGCGAGAGGCGATCACACGGAGCTGTTGGTGGGCTTCGTAGTACTGGCCTTCAGCGATTCTGCGGAGGAGTGGGGTCAGCTTGACTGTGATTCAGGTGAGATTAGGAGGGTGTATTACTTTTCGCGTTGTCGCGCGAGCGTCTTCTCGATCTTGGAGGCCATAGTGGGCGCAATTGAAGGGGATTCGTGGTGGTGAGGGGATGTTCGTGTCGCTGTTGGAGCTGTTGGGTGGTTCATGGGCAATGACGCAGCGCTACGGGCGGTTGCTGGACCCCCACATCCGCCTCCGACTCGCTTGATTATCTACACACTTGGTCTACATACCATATATTTCACCTACAGGGTGACATGTTTTATGACTGTGTTTGTATTGTATTTTGGCTTGTAGTTCCACACAGCTATTTCCGATCCAAGCTGGTTTCTCGGTCAAGCAAACCTCAGAAAGGATTTACATACAGGGGTTGGACGAGCTGACAGGCAGAGGCCATTCAATGCTGTAGAACTTGCTCTTGAAGTTTTGCCAGACGTGATGGAAGGAGCTGCCGTTCTGTTTCAAGAATGATCTAACCTCCAGTCACACCTAGGGACGTCCTGTTCAGCAAGTGCCGCTTTATGTAACTGAGAATCGATTCAAGGCTATTACATCAACTAGAATAGAGACTAGAATGATATTGAATACATCTTTCTAGCATGCTTTCTGCCCATATGATCTCTCATGCGTGTGGAGGTAACGGGACTGAGGCTAACCTGGAAATGTCTAAGTGGGAAAACCTAAAAACGCTGAATTTTGCAATTAATTTTTGCTTTCTACTCAGAAGGTTCTGTTTCTCTCTTACAGCTGTTTCAACGCGACGGTGGCCTTGTTACTCGGTTCTCATTGCTACACCAGCGTTGGCAAAAAGTCAAGATGCCCACCTCGAAGTCTGACAACACATCACCAACAATACTAATAACCCAGTGCAAAAAGAAGATTCCTTTTGAATGCGATGACCGGGACTCGAACCCGGAGCCCAGGCAAGCTCTATCGAGTATGGGAAGCCTGGATTTTACCCTTAAACCATCATCGCTATGAATGGGACGGAAAGTTTTGAAAAAATTGAAGATATAACATCCATTGGGAAAATCAGATTTAACAGCGTTCAGGAGATCGAAAGGAGAGGCTAACTAAGTTGTTTGACCAGCTAGATGGTCCTCAGTGTCAGCCGAGGAATGCTCATGGCGGGGTTGTCGTATAAAAAGAGCGGGGCTGAAGCTTACATACAGAAACCTCAAAACTCCATCACAAGCGAAGACTACAAGGCAGTGTGAAAACCAAACTAATACACTGAAAAGCAGTCATTTCAAACGAGCATTTAAATCCCTGGTGGTCTCTTTCCAAGAAATCGGTGGATGCCCAAATGGAACCCTTTTGTTACGGCATTCCTTCAAGTTGCAAGCACTACTCTATAGCCAAGAAACGATGTAGAGTACAATGATGATTTGATTTGTAGACTGGAAACGGATGAATTCTGATATACAGACCAGCGGACGGTTAGGACTAACAAAGTGATAGCATGAAGGAAGTGAGTGCTTGTGTAAGTAGATTATTGACCTTACTGAACCAGCCGAGATGCTTCAGCGCGATCAGTTCATTCTAGTCCAGACTAAGTATTTACTTTCTTCGCCAAACCGAGTATTACGTTGCCGAGGCTGGCATAATTCTCGTATCTTAAGGGCTTCTTCTATCGTGTGATATCGAACACTGTCAAGCAGTGAGCATGCTAACACAAGCACCTATCTAATACTTGTATACCCTATTTATTCGAAACGTATTACTTCTGATCGGGAAAACATCTAGCAGGGAACGCTTTTGCAAACAGCTAGTGCGTAATGCTGTCGAAGTCTCAGAGTGCAGATTTCTGAACTTTCCATCACTTCATCAGACTAATCTGCACAGTGTGGCAATGTCAAATAGCTTCAATGGCATGACTAATTATTTTGGTCTCTGTCTTCCCTACTGTTAGTATTTCAGCCCCTACATCAGCAGTCCGATGGAGTTTAGTATTCCAAATAGGTACGTGAGCTGATAAACTACTACATTCAGCTTTGCTAGCTACACTATTCAATTACATATTACATACATTTGCCACAAAACACATGCTAAAATGGTGCATATCGGCTGAATTCCTTGGAAAATGCACTACCTAGTATGCAACTATTGTTAGCTCGCTCGACCCCTAATCCTCAGCCACCTACCCCAGTATCTGAAATGCGGCTAAGTGAAATTTTGGTACACTACGTTCCTTCCAGAAGCACATGCGCAGTTTGGTACACTTGCGTTTCCGAATCCGATGGTCCATCCTCGGAGATAGCAAGGGTCAAAAACACCCCGACAACTACTAATAAATTTGAGGCTGTCGAGTCAGGGTAAGGTCTGGATGGGGCAAGCTTAGTTTTGCGCTCTGTTATCTCCTTGTTGCCGTAGATCAGGAGAAATCGCTAACAAGATGTATGATGCCTAGGTATACCCGGTGTGGAAACTAGGCTAGCGGGATGGATGGTTGTATTAGGCTTCATTGAGAAGTCTGTGATAGGGGGGCCAACTACAACAGATTGCTGATGTCGAATTGTTATGTTGGCACGATTGCATGTGTGTACCAATGTTTCAATCCATAAATGGAATAGAGAAGTCGAGGTGTGTATGTCAGGAACACCTCAGACTCTTGCCTGGTATAGAGCCTTTTCCGAAAAATAAGGTGTTAGCAGTCACGGTGCATCACTTTGAATGAAAGGATATCTCGTAACAAGGAGCCCGAAGCTCACAGCATGCATTTGCATTGATTTGAATGCATGATAGGTATATATATACAGAATAAATAAATCATGAGATCGTGTCGCAAGCGTCATGTTCTCAAGACCAGTCGGGAAAAAAGAAGGGAAAAAAGAAGAGAAAGAAGAAAGAATCAAAAGCCAGCCCATTTGTCCGCGCTGCCAAGATCCATGGCACGCACCCGCCCGCCCAAAACCGTATTCTCATAAAAGAAGTCCCAAGGGATAAAAAGGTCCCTAAGAGGAGAAATCCCTGGCGTGGCGCCTGGCATTGGCGGAAGCAACAGATGCCAGCTGAGGGCCAGGAGCATCAGGGAAAGTCTCCTTGGCCTCGTGCCAGTAAAGGTCCCACTTGAGGAGATCATCGTTGGCGTGGTACAGCTCGGTACCTCTCGTTCCAGCAGGCATCTGAGCGCCGTCCTTACCACCAGTGACCTTAATGTTGAAAGCCTGAGGCCAGAACTGGCGGTTCTTGACAGCTCCGTTGTTGTGGATGGACACAACTTCAGTTCGAAGGACATAGTTTCCACTGGGGATACCGGACGGGATCGTGACAGTTTGGGAGTTGCCATTGTCGTAGAAGATGGCGTCGGTGCCCCAGTAACCAGTTTGCTCCTGGGGAGAGCCAGAAGAGTAGCGGCCCTGACGGTAGTCGATCAGAGCTGATTGGTGGATCTTGAAGAACTCAAGAGAGGTCTTGTCGACCTTGGCGCAGTCGCCATTGCAAGAAGCGAGGTAGGTTGAAGTCCAGCCGTGGTGGGAGCAGTCCCAGCCCTCTTCGCCATCGCCGCAGCTGCCCTCGTGGTGCCAGTGGAAGGTAACATCAGAGCCGGCAGATACTGGAGCCGTGTAGGGTGATGGAGAAGCGTCCTTGTGAGCGATGATGTCGGGGTGGTTGATCTGGTCACCATAGATGGGCTGGTATCCCCAGCCCTGGTTGGTCCACCAGGCGGGCGACTGGTTTCCAGGATCTTGCTTAGAGGCCTGGTAGAAACCTTCGTAGGTCTTGCCTCCAGCCTCGAACTTCTCAACGGCAGTGTGGCCAGCAACAGCAGAAATGAGGGCCGCAAACAGGGCACTGGTCTGGACGATCTTGGACATAGACATGGTGACGGTGGTGTTCTGCAAAAAAAAAAAAGGTCCTTTGAAGGAATCAACGGAGGTGTAACGAAAGTGGTGTATGAAGAACGAAAATGAGTGTGTAATAGCACCGGGCTATGAAAGAGTGGCTGGTCAAAGATTGACTGGGGAAAGAATGACTTGCTTGCTAGAGCGTGAAGAAAAAGCTGGCTCTGGGGGGAAATCAAGACCTTATGTATACTCCGAGAAAAGGCTAAGATGATCCTACGCGAAGATCCAGACGCTTTCCAGAACAACCCCCCCCCCCTCCCCCCCTTCTCCCCGCATTTCCCGAAAAACGAGAGAGTGTTGACATAATGGCTGCTGCTGGCGTAGGCTTGGGACCTGGTGACGCCCGTCTCCACCGACGCCCCATTACGTGGGATGTGTGCCTGACGCTAATGTAGGTACAACAGTAGTAGAGAGGGGCGTTGAACGACGTTCCCTACTGGTCTCAAGCATGTGCACCCTGTCTAATGACACCGTTCATCCCTTGCACTGCATCTTGTCCATGCTGTCATCTCCACTGCGCCGTTCCCGGTGCGTTAGCCTCCATTCCTTGTGGATAATGTGGTTCGCCTTGTATCCCTGAACGGCAAACCCATAGGCCTAGACAGCCCCCTCAAGACTTTTCAGTGGAACCGGAGAAGGCCGAGATAAATCTCATCAAGCAGCTGAGCGAATCAGGATGCAGTGACGTCGTTTGCTCTTGGAACTGAGATGACCAGGCGTGTTTTTGCCATGGTCGGGCCGCTTTTCGGCTCGCGAGCTGGTACCAACAGGGGTTGTGCGTGGCTCCCTTTGCCGCAAGCCTACCGCACAGCGCCGTCGTTTCAGCATCAGCCTCAAGCGAAAAGGCTATCGATAACAGCCTATCGACGTGTGTAAATTCTTTCCCGACATACAGATGGTGGGTGCGGAAAGTATGGTTCACTACTGTAAAGAGAAATCCCCACTGTTTGAGAAAATGCTGTGCTTTGTTTCAGGATTAAGGAGGTAGACAAACCCACTGAATGCGTAATACGGCGACGAGGCACACGCTCTGCCATGTCTTTTACAAACTCCACCTATGTACCCGAGCAAGGCGTTTGAGATATCGCCCAAGACCAAACTTTGAACCAGCTCGGCACAGCAGCCATAGCTCTCGGGTGTGCTTCCCAAAGGGACACACAACGTGATCTGCTTGTTCTCCTTTGGAGAAACTTGTCAATGTATAAGCCTCCTGACCAATTGATACCTTGTGCTTCCACACCAAAAATTCCGTGTCTAGTCCTTGCGAAACCTCCGGCACCATGACACATGCTTTGCTCTAAGTTGTACAACCCTAAATCCCCATTCGGAGGAGCACATGTAAGCCGCACATGCGCTCGAATCGATCTCCCAGTCGTAATGCAGTAGAGTTAAATTGGGCTTGATCGATCGTCTGTGCAAGGACAATCTCTTCAGAACAAATACTCCGCCATGTTAATACAAGGGTCGCAAAAAGATCACCATAGGAAATGTCCGATGTTTTGTTCTGAAAGGTTGTAGAGAACCTAACAGCGATCATAATACCTGACACCCAATAGTCACTACGCATGGCTCACTCGCTACATGATGCTTGTTTCAAACGTTATCGTTGTTGTGTCTTCTTCTGCAATTCTTCCCAGAATTTCGTACTACTTGGTCTTCTTTTTGTGCCTTGGCCGCACATACTCAATTTCGGGAGTCAACATCCGAACATCCCCAGGCAACTGTCTCGTGTGTTAAGAAGCTGCCGTTGCACTGCTAGTGCCCACTGTCAGTATTGGGGTTCACCACCTCATATCCGCTCCAAGCACATGCACACTCAGGCAAGGATACATTCTTCCCTGTTGATATTCGCGAACAAAACTCATAGTTGACTAATAGAAGCCACAGGTTCACGTGTCAGGCCCTTCTTGGTACTCTGCCACTCAGCGCAAACGCCTCTCTTAAGCTTGGCACAGCTGGAAAACTCGTATATCGGAGCGCACTGACAAAGAGGGAGCACCACCAGATGGCTTTTACACCGGAATATAGCCATTATCGTATTCAGCATTCAGCATGTTCTCGTTTGTCTTTTTCGGGTCTTTCGTCCGACACAGCCTCGTTGTTGATGTGTTGACTGATTGGCTTTGAT